GTGAGTTGGCGATTGTGTGTTGGTGCTGGTGTGTTGTGTGCGCTCTTTCGCCCTCTCGATGTCTTGTTTCTCTCTCTCTCTCTCTCTCTCTTTCTCTTCTCTCTTTCTTCTCTCTCTCTCTCTCTCTCTCTCTCTCTTCTCTCTCTCTCTCTCTCTCTCTCTCTCTCTCTCTCTCTCTCTCTCTCTCTCTCTCTCTCTCTCTCTCTCTCTCTCCTCCTCCTCCTCCTCCTCTCTCCTCCTCTCACTTTCCTAGCTCCCTCTTCTCCCCCCTCTTTCCTTCCATCCCTCCCTCCCTCCTCCTCTTTCCTTCCATCCTCCATCCTCCTCCTCTTTCCTTCCATCTCTCCCTCCTCCCGCTTTCCTTCCATCCCTCCCTCCCTCCTCCCTCCCCTTCTTCTCCCTCCCTGCCTCCCTCCCCCTCTCTCCCTCCCGATCTCTCTTTTTAATGCGTTTTACATAGCACTGAAACAATGCAATACCAGCCACACGTTTACTTGTGTATCCCGGCGAGTGTTTCCCATTTACCGGCGCGGATTACGAGAATTATATGCATTGAATAAAATTAGAATTTCCATATCGACGACCCTGGTTTTCCATTATGTTTTAAATCAGTTTAACTGCAAGATATCGCCGGCCGTCGACCAGGGCGCCAGCGTAAGCACAGATTGAAAATGCTTGTGGCCCTTGGCGGAGAAATGTGTGCCAGTTAGTGATTTTTTATTATTTTTTTAATGGGACGCGTTGAGTCGTTTAGTTTTCGAGGTTATTGTCTTTTCGTTGATTGGTCAACGAGATCATGCCTTTGCACGTGATTGGCTTACGAGCTTTGGTTTTTCCAGCTCCTCGGCCAATTAGCTGTCAGCGCGCCATTACTCGACTCACTTGTTTCCCAAAGTCGCTCTTTTTTCAAATCTGTTTTCCCTTCGTTACGATTGGCTACTTCAGCAACATCGAGGCGCGTGTTATTAGGTTAGGGGGTTTGTTTTGCTGCGTGGGGGGAATTAGAAATGAGGTTCGGAAGGTCGTTTGGATCCTTCAAATTGATTTCTGAATTCTGCTTTTTTTCCTGCTCGTTCTTTTCCTTTCTTTCTTTCCTTTGAGTGAATGAAATAGTTTTTACGGGACTGTTGCGAGTGGCGTTGCAGAGCCCGGGTCGCGCAGCTGGTTTTACGCGGGAACGATTATTGGAGGCGCATTGACAGTATTAAAATTTTAGCAGGACGTTCTAATGACATTAGCAGGACGCGAAATGCCAATCCCGGCGACATTTTATGGAGGCACTGACAACAGCGCTTTTCAGAGACATCTAGTGGCGGGATTTTACACAAAGGTCGACCAGATTGCGAAGCGGAATTCGTGTGTTTATCTTCGTAGTCATAGTCTTACTGCTACTTTTTGTATTTTATTTACTAATTTCGACTCATTTTTCAAGAATTTTAGCCTGGCGTATGTATTACGAATACATTACTCGCGCAAATTACTTTCTCTGTGGATCCAGAAATGGCAGTTCCTTGAAGAAGCGCTTTCCTCTGCGCACTTGTCCACTTTATCCTTAATTAAGTGTTCCGAGGGGTTGAGTTAACGACCGAATCACCACCCTTGTTGTAACGATTGACTATTATATAAAAAGGGTGTTCTCTTCCCTGCCATAAAAGTTCTGCAAAATAATTCCCACGATGGGATTTTAAAGTATCGAGCTATTGCTCCAACATGTCCATTACGCAAGAAGATACAAGAAACAGGGCTTTTCGGTCTTTCAAGTGTGCTAGAAATATCTTCACGCGAGAAAGTAGGAGATTTTCCTCTGCCATATTGCCAATCAGAAGAGAATCGGACACTTCGAAGTCCTGCAATGCGATTTGCCAGGTCGGTAAGTATCCCCAGAAAGCCTTTGTTGCCACAGAAGCCTTGCGTAAGTGTCACTCCTTTTAGACTTACCGGGGAAACAAGACGCCCCCCCCCCTTCCAGCCCCTCCCCTTTCTTGACACGCCCCTTTTCCAACCCGCCCCCTATTCCGAATAACAAAGAACGGATCAAGGCCGTTTGTCTCCATCAGGTAAAATTGGAGTTTGGAGAGAAGCCAAGACGAGAATTTATGAGACATTCTTTATAGATGAGGAACGTGTGCGTGTCCGTCCAACCCCCTTGTGACTGCGCCCATTCAACCATACACGAATGTCAGTACGTGTCACCTTTTTCTTCGCGCCGTGTTCATTTTCCAAAAAAGGACCGGGAAACCTGCGTCACCGGGGCTTCCATATTGCTCTGTGGCTTTCCGGGGTCGTCGGCAAGTCCATGTTTGAGGCAGAAGTGACTCACTCTTCTCTCGGAAGATTCGGTGACTCTCACTTGGCGGGGTTGGTGATTCCGTGTAATCCAAGGAAAATGGAAGTTTAGGGACAAAAGGGAAAGCCGAGAGGAGAAACAGTAGATTCGGCCCAAATGGACGCAGCTGAAAACTCAATTAAATCAGTGTTAAATCAAACACGGGAGCGAAGGGTTGCAGAAAACACTCCCGGCAGCAACAGCACTCGACGCCAAAAGCGCCCCGTGCAACATTTTCATTGCAAAATATATTCGTCAGTGTATATGCAGGAATGACTTTTTCCGAGGGAGACATCTGTTCCGCCGACCTGCTAAACCGCCCGAGTTCCGCGTTATGTGCAAAGTTGTATGAAATATCGGTATTCTTTGGCAAGTCAAGCCTCCGAAAGATTTAGAAATGAACGATTACACTTGTCCCGGCAAGAGTTAGCTCCTCTCATGGTCAGCAGTTGTCCAGGGCGCCCTGCGGAAGGAGGTCCGTACGGGCGTAGATGCGGGCTGATAGGGCGAGCGGGGACCACAAGGGACGGCGGGGCTTGACGCCGGAGGGCCGGCTGGACGCTGTTCATCAAGATAGGGACGGGAAGCTAAAATGGCAGATGTGGGGCGGGATGATAAATACATCGGCAGGGGCTGCCGGTCCAGGTCCAGGGGTCATAGCGCGGTTCGGATAATAAATAAAGGGATATTTGCGGTCTGTCTCGGGGGTCGGGAGATTCATAGCCGCCTTCGATGAAAGTTTCATGAGTCATCAAAAAAGGAAAAAAAATAGTTGGGATATTTCACAACCGCGAACTTCCCGCTGACTCCCGTCGTGCATCAAGGACTATCTTTCGACGGCCGCGATTCCTGCATAGTTTGCGATGCCTGCTGGCGGCGCATTGCCGGAAGCCCCCTAACTCTAGGGGCGAAGGAACAGCCCTTGCCTGGCGCGAAGGGAAGGAGCAGGGTGGGAGGCTCACCCTGCCGGCGGCGCGTCTTCCCATGTACTGTGGCGACGGGGCTCCAGAGGCGGTCGCTGGCCGGGCCTGGCATCGCGGGGGCTGTCGCCACGCGGTGCCGTCTGCCAAGTCTTGTCGCCATAACCTCTCCCCTTCGCCCCTCTCCCTCGCTTCTCTTCCCCCATTCCCTCCCCCTTCTTTCTCTTTCTTCCTTCTCCGCTGCCCTTTCACCCTCAATGCATCGCCCTGGCCGTCCCCTCCTCTGTGTAGGTGTCTGAGAACCCGAGACTAGACAAATAATTAGCGTATGGTTTTAGCGGACCGTGTCTGGGGAGCCTTTTGTGCTGGAGAGCCTCGGCGGCGGGTCAGCTTACATATGGCAGGAAGGGGAGCTATTGTGTGCGGGAGTGGATCGCCGCCGCCGAGGGGGGCGGCACTTGCACATTTATGTAATTATCAGGGCATGCTGACACACTCTTAACACACACACACACGCACACACGTGTGTATATATATATATATATATATATATATATATATATATATATATATATATAGAGAGAGAGAGAGAGAGAGAGAGAGAGAGAGAGAGAGAGATTTATAGTTATAGTAATTTATTCATTCATATATATTTTGGCTATGTGCACGTAAATGGTCTTGTATACATACTTAAGTATCCCTGTCCTTCCCCCCCACCTACGAGTGCATGGCCTCCTTCCAACCGTCCCGTCTCCGCCTCGCCTTCCCTCCCTTCCTTCCTTCCTCCCTCCTTCCTCCCCTCCTTCCTCCCTCCCTCCGCCGCACCTTCCCTCGCGCATCGGCCGGGCGCGGAAGACGAGGATGATAATAAGAACGAAGGAAAACGCGGTGTTTCTTGGAGACTCGCCAGGTCCTAGGATTGGAGGGAGAGGGAGGGAGGAGGGGAGGGGAGGAGGGAGGGAGAAGGAGGGAACGGGTAGGAGAGAGGGGTAGAGGGAGGAGGGGAAGAGGGAGAAGGGAGGGCTCGGAGGAGGAGTGGTAGGGAGGAGACAGGGAGAGGGGAAGGGGAGGGGGCCATCGCCGTCTTTCTTGTGAGATGAATCTGAGTGATTGGCAAGTGATAGAAGGCGACATTCCCGCTCTCTGCTTTTAAACTTTCCATTTAGTTTATCAAGTTTATCATCTTGAGGCTTCATCGATCTTTTTTTTTCCCCCCCCCACCCCCTTTTAGACGATGGAGATTCGGCGATAATTGATGATTAAAGATGAGGTGTTTGGCGGTTTGGAGAAAGGTTGCCTAGTCGAGGGGAAAATATAAATTTAGTTGATGGAAACGCCGGGTTAAGTCTTTCTAAAATGTGAAAGCCTCTTAGGGATCATCTACTTGGCAGGAAATGATAAAGATACAGTTATTTCTTTAACCTCTTGAGACGGTTTATTTTTTGTGGGTTGTACTTGTAGTTTTGCCACAGAAACGTTTTTTATTTCCATTATTATTATTATTTTTTTTTTTTTTTTTTTTTACTGGATGTAATTGTTTTTTTCCCCAGACTTATTTTTTTTTGGGGGGGGTAATATTTTCTTTTTTTTCCCAGAGATGTTCTATGTTTCCCAAGTGTCCTTTATTTGCCAGACTGCACTTGTTTTACTCCCGACAGACGGTCTTTAATTCCTAGGCTGTACTCCATTTTCCCCACAAACGGTCTTCATTTCTCAGGCTGTACATTCCCTCCCCCCCCTCACAGATGGCCTTG